TGAGCTGCGGTGTCTAAACACCTGTGTCCTTCTGGGCCCTTTGTGCAAGCAGTCTGGGTGTATGCTGTGTGCTAGAAAGGGCTAGAGGACCCCCATGTGCATTGATTGTGGCTGTGGATTCCTGAACCACCCCACACTGTTCTTATTCAGAGATTTATTTGTAAAATTTCAACCCTGACCTTCATAATCAATTGCCAAACTGCTCCACTAGGTTTAATGTGTCCACATAGCGGTGAGGGAGGGGACAATTTCGTTTTCCGTAAAGGGAACTGCTCACAGTGGTGGAGGGGGAAGCCACATCTATTCCAAGCCCTGGTTCATCCAGGGGTTCGGTTTGGCTGAGGAGGCAGGATTCATGATGTTTTCCTTGATCCCTGTGGTGGAGAAATAGGTCTTTTCCCTTTCCTGGGCTGGACCCGAGGGCACTGGTCAGAGATGGGGATCCTATCTGGGTGTGAAGAGGGCAATTGCCCTGTATCCCTGCTAGCCAGTGACCTGTCTGCACCCGAAGTAGTGACACAGGGGTGAAGGGCCTCTCTTGTTAGAGCTCAGCAGTCACATCTTTTCAGGAGACCTGTAGCCTGTGAGCAGGGGGCAGATTTGCATGCAGGGCCTCTTCTCAGCTCTGGGGCTTTAAAAGAGACTTGGAGGATCATTAGGAAGCTGAGCTGGTCTGGATTCGCACCATGGCCCAAGTCCCGCTCCTCCTCGCTCTTCTCATGTACCGCGCTTCTCATGTACTGCTCAGGTGAGGGAAAGGTTTGCACACAGGACATAACACATGGGGTCTGGCAGGTGAGAAGGATTCTCCTGGGTCAGTGTGTGGACGTGTGTGTCTATAATGTTGATTTCAGGGGTCTGGTCTCAACCTGTGTTGACCCAGGAGCCCTTGGCATCTTCAGTGTCCCCAGGAGGGACTGTCACTCTGTCCTGCGGCCTGAGCACCAGAGCCATCCCCAGCAGCAACTGTCTCTCCTGGTACCAGCAGAAACCTGGGTCTGTCCCTCAGACGCTTACTTTTGAAGCTAAGAGATGCTCGGGTATCCCCACCCAGTTCTTGGGGTCCGTATCTGGCTAGAAGTTCACCTTAACCATCACAGGGGTCCAAGCTGAGGATGAGGCTGACTACTACGGTGCTGTGTTGTACAGTGGAAAGTGTCACAGTGCTGCGGATGGATGCAAAGTGAGGAAAAAGCCTCTCTTGCCCTCCCTCCCCCAGCCTGGGCTCTGGGCTGCCTGCGCAGCTCGGCTCCTGCCTCAGCCCAATGAGTCGGTGTCTGTTCCTCATTAGGAATTCCATCCCCTGCGCTGCTCACCCACTCCTGCTCCTCCAGCTCTCTGGGACAGGTTGGCAGCTCTGTGCCCACAAGAACCACAGCACACGCGGCCCAGTGGTGCTGCCCAGGCACCCGGGGGACTAGTTTTCCCTGCTGGTATAAGAGCCATACGACAGTACCAGTGATAGAGCTGCTGGGTGCCAGAGCAGGTGCCTGCTGTGACCAAGCCTGGGGCTGTCCTGGATGAGGCATATATTGGCTGCTATGTCAAAATGCAGCTCCTACTGTTCTTGGCCCTGTCCTGCATACCTCACCTCCATCTGCACTTTCTATTCATCTCCCATGAGTGCTGTGCCCTCAGCTGGCAGCAGGATTTGGCTACTGGCAGGGAAGCACCCGTACCCGCCTGCCCTCAGGTGTCCAATCGCAGCAGCACCGGGGAGGGACTCAGACAGGGGGTTGAGTGGAGGAGGCTCCTGGGCACTGCCCATGCAGACGTGGATGAGCTGTTCTCTATTTCTCTCAGCTTTTCCAGTGCTGCCTCATATTTCAACTCCTTCCCCTTGCCCAGCTCTGGGGGAGTCTGACAGGGCTCTGTTCTCATCCCTATCACCATTACCTCCACCCTGACCCTTGGGGTTCACCCCTCCAGAAGGCCTCCAATATCACCCTGGTCTGTATGACCCTTAGCTGCTCTTCTCTGCATCTGACTGAGGCCCCTCTGCATCTCCCACTGAGGCAACTGTGCCTGGGCACAGAGGCCTTCCTGCCATCTCTGGTTAAACATGGCCATGCTGGTTTTTCACTTTGGGCTCCTCCAGTTGTTTGCCTTCCCTTCTCACCCAAAAGGCAGGGACCACTGTCAGCATCATCATTGTTTCATGCTCCCCACCATCCCCTCCCAATGGCGCTACCATGTTCCTGCTTCAGCTGCAAAAGGGCTCTTCTTCTGTAACAGGCAGGTTAAGGGGCACTTACCTTTTGAGTGTCCTATGTCGGGCTCTGCCTGAACCCTTGAGGTAGATTGTCCCTGAAGCGACACCGTATTGTAGTTTAGTCTGATCCCCAGCAAGGGGATGCACGATTCAAAAGGTTACCAGTTTGCAGTTCAGGAGCCGGGGAGAATTCCAGCCCAGGGATTGGCTGGGCGGCTCCCCTTAAAACAGGAGTGTCTCCCCACCACCCCTGGGATGGAGAAGGAGAGGTTCGCGCTGTGTGAGAAGGGCTGGGAAGAGCCTGCAGTGTGGTCCCACCCTGCAGTTGCCTGCTGGAGTCCTCATGCATGGGCCAGAGGCTAGCGGAGCACCTGAAGGGTCAAGCAAAAGAGAGCAGACCCCTAGAACGAGCAAGAGAAGTTCCTGAGTAAGCTGATCAAATCCCTTAGGGTGGGGACACAGCCCCAGGAAGCCCCTAGAGAGCAGGAAGGCGATTCCCTGCTGGGCTTGGAGACTGGGGGGGTTAGTAAGAGTGTGATAACCCCGCTGTGTGAGTGGTTGGGGAAAGGACTGTGGCAGGACTGGGCAGCTTGGCAGAAATGGATGCCAGCTAGGGAAAGTCCCCAGGATGCCTGTGTGAGTTGAGACCCCTCAGTGTGCCCCAGTGCCTTAAGGGAAGTGTGAGCGCAGAGGTGCTGCCTGGTCTCCTGGTGGCAGCTTGCTCTCCCTCTGTGCATTTAACTGTGTAAATAGCTCTGTGGGCTTGGAGAGGCCGTGCCTAGGGAAGAAGAGTGCATGGAGGTGCATGGAGAAGAATATGTGTTGTGCAGGAGTTTGAGTGGAAGCAGTTTCTGCAGACTGTGAGACGCCTGGGCCAGTGTGGATATCCCGAGGCAGCTGGAGCCTGCAAGCATGTGACGTGAAGAGTTCCTTTATTTGCTGGACATGTCAGGGTGATTGGCTATTGGTTGTAACTAGTTAATTAAGGATTTGATATAATGAGTATCTAACACGGTGCCTAGAGTTATTAGCTATGTATTAATTGATTTGATCATCCTTTTTGTGTAAATAGCTATCAACTGTTATCCTTGTATAGACTCCTTTTTAAATTGGTTTAATGTTACACTAATTAAGTTAGTCCTTCTTATGCAATTCTGCTGTCTGTACACTGCTCCTAGTAATGTAGCTCTGATTTCACAGCCCTACAGGCTCTTTTCAACTGTAGCTAAGAACATTCATTCAGGTATGGAAATAACTTGAAGAGAAACATCAAATGCACTGTGAAGATGCTCAGGAAGGCTTGACTTTGCTTACTGAATCTGAAAGAGATGTGCGTTTAAGTCTAATTATCACAGGACTCAAGAAACAATGGAGTTTGATTATTTTCCCCTAGCTTGCTGTGATTTCAATATGTAATATAGGATATAGAAGATGTATACACCTTCCAAAAAAGTTATATTTGCTTTCCTTCAATCCAGAAATTGAATAATATAACTGGACACACCTGGCATATTAGTAATGCTTTTCGTTTCTTTTTACTTGAAGAAAAGATGATTTATGTCATCATATGCAATGATGCACCAGACAACCTGCGCTACCCCCTTTCAAAATACTAGATCCACCTATGCCCCTTTTAGTTTCACTCAAACGAAATATCAGCCAGGTCTGATGGCAACACAGCCATTGCAAAGCACATGTCCAAAGCAGTGTTGGGCAGGCCTGCTCATCCGAGAGTGGAGTTGTCAAGCGGGAAGGGAGATTTTAAAAGCTGGTGCCTCAGAGTTGGGTTGAGCCCTCAGAGCAGGAAGAGGCAGTGCATCTTGTCTCCATTTGACAATGAGGACTAAATACTAAATAAAGACTAGGCATTGGATTCTCTTCCCAGTCAAACCAGGGTAAATCCGGAGTGAATCTGCCAGGGCCAAAGGATTTGTGTGACATTTCTTATAGCATAATTAATGGTGGAATTGCATGACTTGAATGGGAAAGAAAGAAATCATTCTGGTTAATGGAAACCCCAGACTTGGAAAAGG